CCAAAAAAATAATTAAATTCATAGTTGTCTCTGTGGCGCAATCGGTTAGCGCGTTCCGCTGTTGACTGAAAGGTTGGTGGTTCAAGCCCACCCAGGGACGATATATGCTTTTCTCCATTGATCGAAAAGTTTTGAGTGAATTGAAATTGCAGAAAGTGATGAAAACAATATGCGCCCAACGTGGGGCTCAAACCCACGACCCTGAGATTAAAAGTCTCATGCTCTACCGACTGAGCTAGCCAGGCTGACATGCAACCTTTCATTTATTGTCACCTACCTCTCAGTTCGAGCAACTCCAGAGACTTATGCTCCTCCGACTGAGGTAACCAGCCAGACCAAAAAATTAAATAAATTCATAGTTGTCTCTGTGGCGCAAACGGTTAGCGCGTTCGGCTGTTAACTGAAAGGTTGGTGGTTCAAGCCCACCCAGGGACGATCTAGCTTTTGTCCATTGATCGAAAAGTTTTGAGTGAATTGAAATTGTAGAAAATGATGAAAACATTATGCGCCCAACGTGGGGCTCGAACCCACGACCCAAGAGTCTCATGCTCTACCGACTGAGCTTGCCAGGCTGACATGCAACCTTTCATTTATTGTCACCTACCTCTCAGTTTGAGCAACTCCAGAGACTTATGCTCCACCGACTGAGCTAACCAGGCAGACCAAAAATTAAATAACTTCATAGTTGTCTCTGTGGCGCAAACGGTTAGCGCGTTCGGCTGTTAACTGAAAGGTTGGTGGTTCAAGCCCACCCAGGGACGATCTGTGCTTTTGTCCATTGATCTAAAAGTTTTGAGTGAATTGAAATTGTAGAAAGTAATGAAAACATTATGCGCCCAACATGGGGCTCGAACCCACGACCCTGAGATTAAGAGTCTCATGCTCTACCGACTGAGCTAGCCAGGCTGACATGCAACCTTTCATTTATTGTCACCTACTTCTCAGTTTGAGCAACTCCAGAGACTTATGCTCCACCGACTGAGCTAACCAGGCAGACCAAAAATTAAATAACTTCATAGTTGTCTCTGTGGTGCAATCGGTTAGCGCCTTCGGCTGTTAACTGAAAGGTTGGTGGTTCAAGCCCACCCAGGGACGATCTATGCTTTTGTCCATTGATCGAAAAGTTATGAGTGAATTGAAATTGTAGAAAGTGATGAAAACATTATGCGCCCAACGTGAGGCTCGAACGCACGACCCTGAGATTAAGAGTTTCATGCTCTACCGACTGAGCTAGCCAGGCTGATATGCAACCTTTCATTTATTGTCACCTACCTCTAAGTTCGAGCAACTCCAGAGACTTATGCTCCACCGACTGAGCTAACCAGGCAGACCAAAAAAATAATTAAATTCATAGTTGTCTCTGTGGCGCAATCGGTTAGCGCGTTCGGCTGTTAACTGAAAGGTTGGTGGTTCAAGCCCACCCATGGACGATTTATGCTTTTGTCCATTGATCGAAAAGTTTTGAGTGAATTGAAATTGTAGAAAGTGATGAAAACATTATGCGCCCAACGTGGGGCTCGAACCCACGACCAAAGAGTCTCATGCTCTACCGACTGAGCTAGCCAGGCTGACATGCAACCTTTCATTTATTGTCACCTACCTCTCAGTTCGAGCAACTCCAGAGACTTATGCTCCACCGACTGAGCTAACCAGGCAGACGAAAAAATTAAGTAAATTCATAGTTGTCTCTGTGGCGTAATCGGTTAGTGCGTTTGGCTGTTAACTGAAAGGTTGGTGGTACAAGCCCACCCAGGGACGATTAATGCTTTTCTCCATTGATCGAAAAGTTTTGAGTGAATTGAAATTATAGAAAGTGATGAAACCATTATGCGCCCGACAGGGTGCTCAAACCCATGACCCTGAGATTAAGAGTCTCATACTCTACCGACTGAGCTAGCCAGGCTGATATGCAACCTTTCAATTATTGTCACCTACCTCTCAGTTCGAGCAACACCAGAGTCTTATGCTCCAAAGACTGAGCTAACCAGGCAGACAAAAAAATTTAATAAATTCATAGTTGTCTCTGTGGCGCAATCGGTTAGCGCGTTCAGCTGTTAACTGAAAGGTTGGTGGTTCAAGCCCACCCAGGGACGATCTATGCTTTTGTCCATTGATCGAAAAGTTTTGAGTGAATTGAAATTGTAGAAAGTGATGATAAATTATGCGCCCAACTTGGGGCTCGAACCCACGACCCAGGCTGACATGCAACCTTTTCATTTATTGTCACCTACCTCTCAGTTTGAGCAACTCCAGAGACTTATGCTCCACCGACTGAGCTAACCAGGCAGACCAAAAAATTAAATAACTTCATAGTTGTCTCTGTGGCGCAATCGGTTAGCGCGTTCGGCTGTTAACTGAAAGGTTGGTGGTTCAAGCCCACCCAGGGACGATATATGCTTTTGTCCATTGATCGAAAAGTTTTGAGTGAATTGAAATTGTAGAAAGTGATGAAAACATTATGCGCCCAACGTGGGCTCGAACCCACGACCCAAGAGTCTCA